CACGCGCCTCGAAACATGCCTTTTTGGGCGTGAATTCTCAGCGGGCTCCCGGACTTCAATGCGCAAAGTGGCGCGCGCAACTGCCTTGAACTCGTTGTCATGTTGAAGGTGACGGCGACCCCCAGCATGTTGAGTTGTTCGGGGCTTCTTCATCGGGCTCAAACGTTCTTGAACTGGAGCTTTGCATCGGTCATCGGGAAGTGGACCGAGGCGCTCCAAAACGGACTTCCTTCTTCGGGATGATTCCGCGGGATCTCCCGGAGTAGCTATTGGAATTGCCGGCGATTTCGGTTGGTTCGCCGGAGGTTGAACTTGCTTTGAAGGCTGCAATGATTGTGCCTTAGCCTGAATTGTCGCTTCAGACTTTGGCTTCCATACTTAACGGGTTGGTGGCGGCTTTTTGGCCACTTCCTTCTGTAGCTTTCTACGGGCTTCTTGGACTTGAGCCCGTGCCTGCGCTGACAGTGCACGGCGATTGCGAATGCGCTCCTCAAGTGTCGAACGATTCCGTGTGACACGGATCCATTCGTTCGTTGGCAGCTTGGAGGAGCTGCCATTCATTGGTTGTTGAGGCTGTTTGCCTCTCCTGTTCTTCAGATCCGCGTTATAGCGGATTCCATCCATGGATTCCATCGCCTTCGCTAGTTCTTTGGCCAAACGTTGGTGTCGCCTCTGACGGGCTCTCTTGGAGAGAGTGACGGAGGAATTGGCGGGAACAGGCTTAACCTGGTTGGAGGTTGATGGAGCCTCACCTGATGCAACCATGGCATCAATCGGGGTGAGATCTTCGTTGGTATTCTCAACTTCTTCATACCAACGGATTTTTCTCCTGGAGGAGAACTTCTTGGACTTGAGGGGGGAGGTCGATCCAGACGAGGATGACAGATACTCCTCGAACTTTTGTTGGTCGAATTCATACTCGACCTCCTCCTCAACCGGGATGACGATCCGCGGCTGCGACGCGACGATCTCGGCAGCGAGATCGGTGGCTCCCACTGTGGTCGCCAGATTGTTCGCGGGAAAAATTGCACTCATTGATTCCATTGATTTCTTTGTTAACAGTTTTTCGGTTACAAAGATCCGGTCTTTTTATAAGATCCGGTTACAACAAAATCAAAAGAGAAATAAAAATTACAACTTTCCTTTTATGTCGAACGAATCGCGAGATCCTGTTTTGCGGTCTCTCGCTTTTGTGGGTTCTTTGCCAGCGCCGGGGTTAATCCGTGGACCACCGCGCGATCTTGATCCGGTCGGATCTACACGGTATGACGGCTTTGTTAACAGTTTTTCGGTTACAAAGATCCGGTCTTTTTATAAGATCCGGTTACAACAAAATCAAAAGAGAAATAAAAATTACAACTTTCCTTTTATGTCGAACGAATCGCGAGATCCTGTTTTGCGGTCTCTCGCTTTTGTGGGTTCTTTGCCAGCGCCGGGGTTAATCCGTGGACCACCGCGCGATCTTGATCCTGGTCGGATCTACACGGTAGAACGGGTGTTATTTCACGAAGGAAATAACAGTCGGGGGGTATTATTTCACTAAGGAAATAATAGCCTTCTCGGGATCAAAAACCAAGTTTTGATCCGGAGTATTACCGTGTGGATCTCAGATCTGATCTCTCTCTCTCTCGAACTCCTGCCTTTTTTTGACGTGGATGCTCGCCAAGAACCAGATCTGAAAATGTCCAAGTCTTCAAAGCTTTGAAAATCCGAAGGTGAGTTCTCAATCCAGCAAAGTTTCGGTTCCAAAATTCCAACCTCCCAAACAATGAGCCACCAAGCCTATTTATAGGCATTCAGAACCAGATCTGGGCTCAGATCTGGGCCCAGATCTGGGCTCAGATCTGGGCCCAGATCTGGGCTTAGCCCAGGTGGCTCGGCCACGGTGGCGCGGTTTTGGCCGAGCCCCCTAGAGGTGGCTCGGCCACCGAGCCACCTCTTGGTGGCTCGGTTTTGGCCGAGTCCTCCAGGTGTTTGCCTTTTTACCGTTTCTACGGTTTCGCGGTTTATCCAAGCTTCGTTGTTGATTCGAACTCTGATTTGGCAGTCCGGATCCTGATTTGGCAGTAAATCCGCTTCGGTGTTTAACCTCGTCGCTTCGTTAATCTGCTTCGTCGCATCTCACTTAGCTTCGATGTTGCGGTCTAATGATTACGCTTGGATACATCGCCCGATGGTTCGTTGATTTGTTGAATCACCGTGCCGAGCTGTGTTAAGGGACCTATAAGCAGTTTTATA